TAATGGATTCCACAAGGAGTTACATTTGCCAAACATGGGCTTTGTTCCAAGTCTGCTTGGTTGGAGCCCTTTTCATGAGCCAATTTACCATCGCAACTCGGATCCTGAGTGGTGGTAAGTGATGATCCTGATATTCTCACTAAATTTATATCCTTATTATTTGAGTTTATGCATCTTTTTAGATTTTTTGCTCCACCAACATTGTTTAAGATCTTAACATTTATTTATTTTTTGTATGTTTGTTCGAAACTTCAAGTAAATGTTATCAATATATCTTTGGAGTTCTGGGTTTGTGTCGAGAGACTTGGTGATAATTATAATTTTTGTTAAACTATCTTGAGATTTCATGAGACGTACATGTATGCAAAATCAAAGCCAATTATTTTGATTCTTTTTTTTTACCTCTTAAATTTGATCGATCGATGCATATGATTCCTATTTGGCACCATTATGTAATGGACACAAAATGGTAACCAATGTGTTGTTCTAAGCTATTATTGTTTTCTAAGAACGATTGTATAACAATTAATTGGATGTATTTTACATTTCATATTACTAATAAGTGGTGTAACAAATTGAAGATATACCGGTTATAATGAAGACAAGAACACAATAATTATTGGATGTTTCGATCTTCGAAACTTCACTTTTACAACGAATCATATGGTTCTTTAATTTAATTAATCAAATAAATTATAAATCCTTTTATTTTTAGACTTTTACCGCTTTAATGTGCTTGTACTTTTACATGGTAAAGTGTTATATGCGTCAGGTCAGGAGGATGCATTCTTACATTAGTGTCTCCCCAGGCATAAACCATCCATCTCAAAGATAAATGTAAAATCCATCTCAAAGATAAATATAAATGGTGGCCCACTAAAAAAAAATTAAAACCAATGGTCCAAATATTTCTTTAAAAATTTATTATTATTAATTTCAAAATTTAAATATTTATACATATTAATGATCTTGATATTAGACATTATATCTCCTTAAAAATTAAAGCAAAAATCCATTTAAAAAAAAGTTTATTAAGAGGAGCAGCCTTTTTACATGAGTCCAGGGACTAAAAAAAACAGTGTCCTTCAATTTTTTTTCCCATTATATGTTTTAAAAAAGTTAATTGTTTGACCTTTTCATTGAAAAAATAACTTGGAAACGATTATCTTTTAAAATTGCCCAATAAACTTATACTCTATCTTAGATTAAATAGTTTTATGAGTCAATTTATTTTTATGTTAAAATCCTCAATTTGCTTGCTTGCTTGGTATAAAAATTTAATTTCAGGAAAATACGAAGTTACGTGCATGCCTTGATGGATGGTTGGTTTTACAGTTTGGGTCACCATTTTAGTAACCAAGTGGAGGATGGGCATGCAGGGCAGGTTGGGGACGCAGGGGGGATCGTTGGGGTGAATTGGGGCATGGTTGCAGACAACCTTCCGGCGCCTGCGGACACCGTGAAACTACTTAAAGCTAACAGAGTCCCAAGGGTGCGGCTATTTGACCCCAACCCAGGGGCCCTCGATGCCTTAAGAAAGTCAGGAATCTCAGTAGCATTAGGTGTCAAGAACCAAGACCTACAGAACCTCGCCAATGACCCCAACGCAGCCAACACATGGGTTGCCAGCTTCATGACGCCCTACACTCCTGACATTGTCTTCGATTTTGTTGTGGTCGGCAACGAGGTCATCCCCAAGGACCCAGCAAGCCCATTTGTCGGCCCGGCGATGCAGAATCTCCTGAATGCCCTGAGAACCTCTCCTGCCTTCCAACAACTGCAGTCACCACAGCTATCCATATGGAGACCCTTGGGACCTCATACCCTCCTTCTCAAGGAGCCTTCACCGAACCAGCTGCCGGTGCCATGCGATACATTGCTCCATTTTTGAGCACCAATAATTTTCCCCTCCTGTTGAATGTCTACCCTTTCTTTGCCTATGCATCAGACCCCGTGAACATCAACTTGGACTACGCCCTCTTCAGGCCCACCGCTCCTGCGGTCCAAGATGGCCCCCTCACCTACAATAACCTCTTTGATGCTTCAGTCGACGCAGTTTATTCGGCCATGGACAAGGTGGGAGGGAGCACGGTCCGTATCGTCATCTCCGAGAGTGGATGGCCGAGCGGGGGTCAAGGTGACAAGACCACACCGGCACTGGCACAGGAGTATAACAATGGTTTGATACAGCATGTTGTCCATGGAAACGGGACACCAAAGAGGCCTGGGATCATCACGTCCACCTACTTGTTTGCATTGTTCAATGAGAATAAAAAAACCCCTGGCCTCGACCAAAATTTTGGCTTGTTTTACCCCGACATGAATCCTGTTTATCCTATTTCTTTTTCTTTTCCATGAGGGGACGGAGTCACTGGTTTGTGTCACAAGACACAACTAACTCACTCTCTCTCTCTCTCTCAATAAGACCTCGTGTTCTGTTCTGTATTGGACATTTTAGAGAAAATAGATCTACTGTTATGAAACGATCGGGATTGAATTTAATTATACATGGGTATTTTGATGTTTTGTGAAAACGCGGGCTATATAATGATCAATTTCTATGGGATTTAACATCTGTTCTCTAAAATGTTGAAATAATATACATTTTACTAAATTTGTAGCGTGGGGTTTTTATACTTTTGTACCATCATCTTTAACAAGAGCGATCGATTTTGTTTGACCTAATAATACTCTTCCTCCAACTTTTTTCACGCTTGTCAAATAACACTCTCTCCTTAACTGTACCCTTGTAAATATGGTTTCTTTGGCCGCCTAGTTATAAGATGGATTCCAATTATTTTAAAAAAAATTATCTCAAAAAAATAACAATGTCAAACCTTCTTAATATTTTGAATATTTTAAGTGTGAGCTTTAATTGTTTGGAATATTATAATATCGTTTTCTCTTCATACTAAGTTGGTGCCCATCCTTTAACAAAGGGTGAGGTTTGTAAATAGTTGCCTCCTTACATGGTATACCTTACATGGTCGAAGTTAAGTGCACCTCTAAAATTTGCATAGACATATCATTCCGGTATCAAAAACCTTATGAGGGCTTGCAAATATATCTTCACCCTCAGTTATAAAATTTAAAATTTAAAAAATGATATAGATCGAGCATATTAATAAATACTTGAAGATCTTGAAAATAGAGGTTCCAAATAATTTGTTACAAGAGGCACTACTTTTTAGATTTGGAATTATTTTATTTCTTAATGTCTATACATCTCGATGTCGATATAATCAATTAAAGGGTTCTCCAATACCGAAATACTCTTGTGTACGATTTTTAAGATGCACCTTACTTCAATAGTATAAGGTTGGAACCTTATATAAACTTTTTCCTATAAAATAAGTTTCCCCTTGCATTTGTAGCCATGAGATAAAAGGTGTGGTTTCTATAAGGTTGCAACCTTAAACAATCCAATTAAAACTCACTCCAAATTTTATCATAACATGTAATTTTGGTGTAAGAAATTTTTAGGATTATCTTAAAATCGGTTTTCATATCTAATTATAAAATTTTAAACTCCAAAAATGGTTAAAATCAAGTAGATCTTTAAACATATGAAAATCTTGAAAATGGATGGTCTTGATAATGTGTTGCAAGATGCACTATTTCTAAGACTCAAAATCTTTTTTTTTTTCTCATATTTATACATCTCGTTTACAAGATGATCAATTGGAGGGCTTTTCAGCATTAAAACAACCATTTTCGATGGATTTTTGAAGTGCATATGTAATTCTACATTTTAAGGTTGCAACCTTGTATACACTTTTTCCTAAGATAAAGTTCAATTTTTTTTATCATTTAATTATTGATTTCCAAGAAAAGATCATCAATATTACAACATCTTCATAGTTTTAAAAAAACAATAGTTACAAAGGTTTATTGTTTGAAACAGCATCTACCTTATTGTAAATTCTTTTAGTTACAAATGTTTATTGTTTGAAACGTGATCTACCCTATCGTAGAATATGGGGCTTGAAAAGTGAATATTCTATTTTCTAGTAAAAGAATTTTAAAAAATTAAAAATAGGTCTACGTCCTAAGTTTAATTTCTACCTCTGAATTATCAAAAAAATAAGCCTTAGGTATTGATTGATTAGGAATAATATAAGCATATGGTTATCTTTTTAGACTTTCCGCTCTACACAAAAAAGGAAAATAAAAGAAAATAAATCTTTAGATATAGGGGATTCTTTAAAGGACCCAGTTTTTATGTGGGCAATGCTGCATATGTAGAAATACAAGCCTATTAATAATTTATTTTTGAGGTGGATTTTTGGACTTAATTTTTGAAGATATGTAATCTCTAACATGGAAATCATAATATGAACAAACAAGTAAATTTCAAAAACTAAAAATAATGAATCTAGTAAGAAAACAGTTGACCGTCAGTTTCCATTGTTTTTAGATGGAACACTTACTTGCATCCATCTTTAAGATGGATGCTTTATACTTTTTGGACCGCACACGTATCATGCGGTCTAGCCCACATGAAACAATTTCTAATGAACAGTAACATGTCAATAGTAACGTGTGAACAATATTTGTGAATAATACCATGAACAATATTTGTGAATAATAAATAAAAAATAAAAAACTTAAAAATCCTAAAAACCCTAGAAATAAACCCTAAAACTAAAACTACAATATACATCATTGAATTTGTATTAAAAATACAAAATAAAAAGAATAATTTTGCCTTTCATTAGGACTTTTTCTTGGCTTCATTGTATCCAAATTTGGACGGACCAAAAACCCAACTAAAACAACATAGTAGTGATGGAACATTGGGAACGAGGTTGTGCCACTCCCTATGTGGATCTTGTTAAATTGAAACATGCCGTGAACCCCGAACTTTTAAGGGAAAAAAAAAAAGAGTTGTGGTTTTAAACCAGCAAATAATACACCCACTTGGTCCACCCAAATGGGCCGTTAGCTTACCATCTTAGTTCTTACATTAAGAAAGCAACCAGGTAATCTTACATCATACGGACGCCAAGATTTTCCTAGAGGAATTGTATAATATGACACCATTTATCTCTGTAACAATGAGTCACAATTACTCACAGCCACATCTATTGTACAATTCACCAAAACAGAAATACATTTTTTCTATGTATTAATCTCCAAAGCAAATAAACAAGTAAAAAGAAAAAGTAAACATAAAAAATGTTTCCCCAAAGAAAACAAAATGAACAATACTCAGAATACCTCATATAAATTACAGAGAGGCATGCTTGCATTTTAAGGAGTGGTGGTTTTGTCTAAGAAGCTAAGGTTGTGGGTTGGCAACTATCAATGGCACAAGCCAGCACATCCTTATAGTCCCTCGATATCGTAAAGGAATCATACACTTTGCCATCGCTGCTCTTTTTGTACTCAAACAAGAGGGAAGAGTGGTCGAAGGCTGTGAGCTTCACAAACCCGTAGTCATAATCCCTGTACAGGCTCCAGTTCGTCTTCAAATCAGTGAATTCAGAGACGTGACTACCTCCACCGCCAGCAACCACATGGATGGTGCCATTGACAATGCCCGAATAATGGGATTTCTCTTGGTTCACACATATACTCTGCAAATACACAAAACGATAGACAAATTAATTTGGAACTGAGGGAAAGAGGGTCAGTTTGAAACAAACAAAAAGGGCTGAGAAATTTAATATGAAACAAATGAAAAGGATAGAGCAATTCAATATGAGAATTCATAAACGAATGGGATTTCATATAATGAGACTGTTACTTTTCGTACATAAAGGTCTCAAGCCATCAAAAGCAAAATCAGCCAGCTAGGGTATGTCATTTCCCTGAATAAAGTTTGAGAAAATTTCCACAGATTTTAAGTACTGTCAGTGGCACACCCCACCAGCCCAATCAAATCTAATGGCCAGGATGAGTTTGACCCTTGTACTGGAGAAAAACCATCTTATCATGTACTTATCCAAAAAAAAAGTCTGCCATGGTATTTATGAATGGGATAATGTACGACAGTCCTATGGACTATGAAAGTTCAGCATCGATTAGAATCATCCCTGTAGAAAACCACAGTGACAATCTATTGTGGTATATCATTAAGATGGATAAGCCCCTAGAAAACCCAATGCTCTGGAGTAATATCTGTAGACACACCCAGAATTTAGACAACCTAGGAATGCACAACTCCTCAACATAAGAAATCATACTTCTCAAGGATATGGGGCTAGGGCTTGATTGGTTAAGAGGCAGAAAACTGCAATACTACGTACCAAGCCCAAATTCTACAGCTTGACTACCGAAAAAAAATGTCACTGTTATGAGGCTGTATACTTATTACGAATGAGAGTGTATGCGTTGAGGAAAGCATATCTACTGATGGGGGGGCAAGCTGGATGACAAGTACAGAAGGAAGCTGAAATGTCTCTCAATCTAGAATGTAAGAGTGTTGCTCTGTTTCTTTAAAACAAGTTACCTAAGTAGAAAACCTATTGATGTTTTTTCTACAAATGCAACGTATTTTGCAGTCAATGTCGAAACCATGGCTTTGGAGATAAAGTTTACTTTCTAGCTTGGTCAGTTGTGATGGTTGCAACTCTACATTCCCAGTATAGCACTGTACTCAAAAAACAACGAAGAAAAAAAAGGACGTACCAAGACACTATTTAACATGATATGCTCCTGAACCATATTTTCATTTGTTTGATTCTAATCTTTGGAATAATTGCAAACTCTCAGATGCATGTGCATAATTGTCAGTGTATGTGTGTCATTTTAAACCTTGGTATGGGTACAAACTTTGATGATTGCCCACCTGATATATGGGGCAAGTCCTCTCATAGTTATGGACATGCCCATAGAAAGCCATATCAACCTTGTACTTTTGCCAAAGTTTTTGCAGGCTCTCTCTTCCCATTGGCTCTTCAAATGATCCTTGCTTAGCATACCATGTACCAGAGGAGTAACCAAGAACGCGATGTGCAAGAAAGATCAACCATGGTTGTTTCTGCCTGTCTGCTGAAGCTAGACATTGTTCGATAAATTTGTATTGCTGACTTCCCTCTCTCCAATCATGTTCGGTATCAGCTATGCAAAAATGGAACATACCATAATCTGTGGCATACCTGAAGACAGGCATAGTTTATGCAGAGTTTCAAATAGGCAGCTAAAGCAGTACTTTTAATTGTTTGTTCCAAAGAAACTGTCACATTTTTCTGTTGTGATAGCTCATGGAAATCCCTTCTTTAGCCTACTTGCATGATCATATGTCAATTCTGATGTTCCCTACATGAACCATGTTGCTCACCACCATCTCAAAACATTCCTCTTTAGAAAAGTTTAACATTAAATATAATTTTTTAATAATGTCACCTCCTACCAGTATTTGGCTCTGTTCTCTGCAGGAACATAGAACATGGTCTCTGCTGGAACCCCACACTCGCCACCTGAATCCATATTTTCATAGAATGATCCTGTTCCTGGCCAGTCACGTTCATGGTTTCCACTACATGATATAGGAAAAAAATGAATTTAGCTTAAAATAATAACAATAATAATAATAATAACAATATGTAGTGACAAAAGGACGGAGTTCATGAATTGATTAAACCTGGCTAACATATAAGGCACAGTTGAAGCAATTGGCTCCACCTGTGAGGTGAATTGATCCCACTGGGAGATATATCCATTTGCATAAACGATATCTCCAATGTGGAAAACTATGCCGATGTTATCTAAGTCCTTTATAAGTTGATCAGTGGTATTAAGAGAGCCCGGCTGATAATTATTGTACTCGTTTGACCCATCACGCTCGGCCTATAAGACATATCCATTAAGGGAAAACCTTTTCATTAGACGTAAATTATGCAAGAAAACATGCACTAGTGCCAGAGGTATCTCTCTCCCTCTGTACATACACACACCCACACCCACCTTTCCCATATCACCGAATATTATGACACGTTGCAATGAGTCCTGACCCGGATAAGGAGATGCTCTAAATGAATACTTCTTGCTCCAAACATACGAACCATTGAATAGGCGATGCCCCAGCTTGTAAGTGTACCTGCATCAGTAGAACCATGAGAACAAGAATTGTACTCTCAGAATAGTGGCCACATTGAAATAGGGATCTAAATAACCCGTACTGTGTATTGGGCCACAAATTTTTCAAGAAGGCTGTATGTATATAACCAGGATCCCTCCAACCAACAGTTCTTGCAGGTGAACCTGTGGAAGTCAGAAAGTAAAAGTTATATTAACCTGAAAATTTAAAGTACACCCACAATTCCTCACCACATCAGGGATGGGGAACCAACCTGTGGAAGTCAGAAAGTAAAAGTTATATTAACCTGAAAATTTAAAGTACACCCACAATTCCTCACCACATCAGGGAAATGGGGAACCCATGTGTTCATAGTTGTAAATAATAACTAGTAAAATTTGTTATTGACAGAACATACATAAAACAAATACAAAGGAAGGCATGATATGGACTCAACTTGCACAGGATATTTACAGCACTAAACTTAAGTCCATATATTCATATGAATCCAAATTGAGGACGATTTCCAGTCCAAGATAAAAGTGGGTTTGGCAGAATTGTGGTACGGAGCTGTCGGTTATTAAAACAAAACAATACTTCAAGTTCCTGAAATCAATTCCTGATTTTCTTTTCTCAATTGTCATAAAACAAGGCTTTCAAGGGTTGAGTCTAGCTCCTATTACGAGGGGGTAACTTGTAATTAGTTCTCTTCTTATTTAACTCCCAGAGAAAATGAAAGAATATGAACATGAATCATTTGTATTGTGCCCAAAGATGGCCCTTGACCAATCAAAATTAAATCATCTACAATACAAGAAAAAATTATCCATGATCGATATCAAGAAGACTGATCAAGAAGAGAACGAACATACCACACATGCTGTTACGAGTAAATGTCAAGGTTCCAGCCGGTGACCGAATCTGTGAATCTCCTTTCAAACCCCACTCGACCAGAGGAACAGCCTCATAAATAGAATAACCACTTGTCCAAGTAACAGTCATCTGAAGAGAAAGAAAGAGGCAATTATCAAAAACAAAAAAAAAGAAAAGAAAAGAAAAAGGGAGGTTCCAAACAAAGTCATTAGATCTAAACCAAAAAAAATTGGAAGATTTTTAAGTAATACTTTTACTTTTTCCAGATCTAGATCTTTACTAAAAGTTTTCTGCTCTAATGAAACGCGAATTCTTGTGACAGCAGATTATTTAGCTTTTTGAGAAATAATTTTCCTTTAGTTGCATATGTGAATCTTTAACAAAGTTTTAAAAAATTTATGGACTACCAGCACTACAAACAGTTCCTGATACTAAGCACCATAATGCTTGTTAGTTCCCAAAAATGTCATAAGGCTGTACTCTGTAGAATCTACTTTTGCACAACCAGTTATTCAATGCCATATAACCAAAAAATTGATAAATTCTATCAAATTTAATATCTTAGAAGGACACTATTTTTTTGATGAATCTCAACTTTCTTCATCAGTTTCACAAATGATCGCCACTGATGTTCCTGGACAAGCTTGAAACTGTAGGTTATCTTTCAACTTGATAGCACCAACCTCCAGAACCATTTGAGAATGCTCAGAGTCAAGGTGATCTAACATTTATGGAACAATTTATTGGTTCAAATAAAATGATTTTCCCTTGTGCTTCTGAAGTTGCGCCATAATATGAGAGAGGACAGATGTACTGTGATAGGAAATCACTGGTTAGCCACGCTGGGATGGATAACTTGGGAATAAAAAGGACTTTGTAGTAGGTTTTATGCAGCAGATAACTGGATACTACTTGAAATTTAGTACAATGGACATTATAGTGGGTGTTTCCCATGAAGAAAGAATAATAAATGGGGTCTAGTCATTGTTTAGTAGTGAATACAATTGTTTCACACTTCCCTGACAAGTAGCCTCTGTAAAAATGACATTGGGACTGACTTGAAGTTCCAACGATAAAGAACAAAAAATAGTAGTGTGGTAAGGTAAATAATGCACCTCTCAAGTGCCCTATCTATTCTATTATTGAAAATTACTGAAGGAAGGACTATATGCCTTCTGCAAGTAAGATATACATAATCAACCAGACAAACAATTTGAGGCTAGAGCCAAGCAAGCAAGAAAACAGATTCCATAGATGGATATTAGAATTCAATAACTGGTATCTTATGTTTATTGGATTGGTAATGATTTTAAATTAGATTAAATGCAAAGCCAGATAGCTAAAAATAGAAGTGCATACAGTTCCTCATTCAACAAAAATGGGAAAAATGAACATTATGAACTCACCTCATTCCAAGATTTGCCTTGGGCCAAGCGTGGGTAAAGAGGGGCCTTTGGATACAAGAAGCTTATTGGATTTGACACAGCAATCAGTTTTGGCTACATTCGAAACATTAGACGGTATCATTCGCAAATTTATCTCATACAGGAAGGGGAATAACATATCAACATTTGATGATGTGACGCTTATACATCATAAGGAAAGGGAAACACGCGATACAAATCTCGTGTGCATACATATACAGGCGGGCATCCAACATTCATAGTCATGAGGAGGGGTGGAGGTTGACCAACATTCCAGGTGAATGTCCATCATGGGTATAAAGTTGATCTCCACTACCAGCCATTAAGAACAAAGAGTTGACACTCCACCTGTGTATGCTATACACACTATTTTTATATGATGACACTCGACCTGTGTATGCTACACACATCATTTTTATATGATGGTGAGTTGGTGGCAAGAAACAAATAACCCTAACAATGAGTAATGCAAGATTACCATATCTCACCGAAATCCATGTTTAATTAGCTATTTAAAGGGAGGATTCAAGTTTGAAATGATAAAAAGCAAACCTGAACGAAACCGCCAGAAAACAATGCAAAGGAAAAGTCAGCCCTCTGGTTGATCAACAGAAGGCTCAGTGTTCCGTTTCCTGTCGTTGTGTAACTTGGACTGGAGAAGTTTGCAAATTGATACTGATAATGCAGATACATAGCTTAATTTTCTTACAAAAAACGAGATCCAGGGAAAACTTTTTTCGTAATGCATTTTTCTTCATAAATAATTCATTTTTGAATGAGACTTGCATTTCTCAGTTGAAGAGAAGCAATACTAGAAATTGCAATGAAGCTGATTTATACCTTTATTGGTGCAGTACATATATATGGGGGTCCATCCCTATTATTTTCAGGTGCACATGTGGATCCACTGAAAAATTTATGGAAGTTTCTTATTTAGTGTGCCAAATTTCTAGATCACAAATCATCATAATAATACAAAGAAGATAATCCAAAATGTGATTTTCTTCTTTTTTTTTTCTTATTTGTGTAAGTCCCTTATATATTGAAAACAATGGAATATGACTAATCAAGGATTCAATCCATAGAGACAATGCACATTAAGAAATGAAAATTATCTTTGAAGCATTGAATTAATATGTTTCGTTCTCCTCCATATTTTATTAGCAGACTTGCACTGAAAAGCTGGCTAAGGATCCAAAACAAATAAAACGAGGGGAAAAAAAAGGATAGGAAATATTAAATTAAGAAAGATAACATTACTTGAAGTTTGATGGAGAGAAGACTCCAACCCAATCATCGCCTGATGGGTTCGGATTTCCAAAACTCAAATTCACCCATTCATTATTTTTCCCCTGCAAAAGTTGGTGATAAACATGTAACCATACACTGTCGCATAAAATGTTTGGATTCATTTTTAGGATAACTGAGTTAAGTTCAGAAGAACTCATGACACTAATTTTATTTTTCAAATATCAAGACCCCATGACACTTACACTCAGAAACAGTAATCATGGAATAAATTCAATTGCTATTTAGTCTAAGTATCACGTGATAATTCTTACTACCTTCACATTCCTTTCAAGGGGATACATGCTCAAGAATAAGGTTTCTCAGAAAATTTAGTAAAGAAAGGATTAAACCTTCACTCTAGCCATTAAAAACACAGAAAGAGAAAAAAACCAGTCATGTATATCATAATGTGTCTCCTATTCTGCTTAAAATTTACTCAAAGTACAGAAGAAAATTCAGGAAAAAATACGAAAATTTACTCTTGCAATGGAAACAAAAGAAAGAAACACCACTGCTTCAATCTTGAATAACAGAAATTCAGTGAAAATAAATAAAGTCTCAATGAAGTTCAACCTAAACTAGTGATTTTTATTTCCTTTTTGAAGAATCAATGTTACACCACATTAATAAGACAGTAAGACAGCTAAAGAGTAAATAATATACTGTTCTCTCTTTAAGAATCAGTGTTATACCAAAACAGCTAAAGAATTAATAATATACTGCTCTCTATCTCTCTGTCTAAAAAGGCGAACGAGAAGGAAAGAGAGAACACCTCGGCACCAATCAGATCAGGAGAAGCCTTGATATACGCAGCGTTGTCAAGTGCAAGCACAGTATTATGAATTGCGATCTTAGACAGAGGCTGTTCACCTTGATGCAGAGCATTCATGGAGTCCCAAAAACTCACCCATATCAAGCAGAACATCAAAATCCTAACCCACTCCATTATCTCCAAAACCAAACCTAAAATCACCCAGAAAGAAAAAAAAGGAACAAGAAGAAAAGAAAACCAGTGAAACACAGAGAAAAAGCTTCACATAGAAGGTCACATCTAGAATACTAATTCTCAGAGCTCCTTCCACTATAAATCACACAAGAAAATTTCAAAAACAAGATAAATTCAAAGCTAATTTTCAGAGGTGAATCGATAGCAAGAAAATTTCAAAAACAAAAGGAATTCAAACCTAATTTTCAGAGGTGAATCGATAATGGGAACAGTACAAGTTTGTAGTGTAAAACGATGGGTTATATATATATACTTATTTGTGGACTCATGGATTTTATTTGACTAAGAATCCAAGAAAAGAAGTACTTATTATTTATGGACTCATGGACTCTATTTGATTGAGAATTCAAGAAAAGAAAGAAATTTACAACAGTAATTAAAGATAAGAGACGCAATTTGGCATATTCTTTTGGTTTATGCTACTGAGAAGTAATCACAGATGTTAAGACGGCGATACATACGGCGTGGACTTTGGAGTTTGAAGAGCGTTTTGTTTGTTTTTTTTTTTGTTGGGAACAGCGACTTATTGTTGAAAATAGTAAAATCCGGTCTTTTCGGTAAATCCAGTTCGGCAATGAATTAATTAAGGAAATCAGTACTAAACAATATTTGTGAAAAGATTTTATCCTCCCGAGGGACAAGTTTTTGGGATGAGAAAAGAAAAGGGGAAAATTGTTTCATGCGGGCTGGGCCGCATTTCTACTTAAAGACGGATGCACGTAGGTACTCCATCTAAAATAATAGGAATTAACCATCTTATATTTGTTATTTTTAGTTTTTTAAATTTATTTATTTTTTCATATTCATGATTTCTATGTTAGAGATTACATGTTCTTAAACATTAACTCTTAAAATCTATTTAAAAAATAGACTTATTAAACGGCCTGCGTTTTTTACATATATGGGCTTAGCCGTATAGAAACTGGGTCCAAAAAAACCCTAAAAGGATTCCTTACTTTTACTGCGACCTGCTGGGTACGAAAAAAGATGGAAGGAGGAAAAGACAAGGAATGAGTGATCCAATTGAGCGTTATAGGTGGATAGAAAAAAAACTAAGCCCTTGTTGGATCGGAGGAAATTAGGAATCTTAGATATTTGAAATCCAAAAAAATTTATGAATTTTCAATATCAACGATTTTTATCATAGATTCTTCAAATCTCTTGTTTGGATAAGCTATACAAAATTCATGGATTCTTTACAATCACTTCTATGTTCAGTGTTTGTTAACAACACTTGATATAGTTTATCTCTCTATAATTTTTATATACTTTCTCTCTCTAAAACTCAAAATTTGGGATGATGCATCTATAAAATTTTTGAAATAGTTACTCTCTCTCTCTAAAATTTGATATGGTTTGTCTCTCTCAAATTTAATAGACTTTCTACTTAGAATTTGAAATTGTCTATCTAAAAATTTTGAGATAATTTCTCTCTCTAAAATTTTTAAGTGCATTACTCTCTCTAAAATTTAATATTGTTTCTCTCTATAAAATTTTAAGATACTCTCTCTCTCAAACTTAAAACTTGAGATAGTTCATGTCTTCAATAAATTTGAGATAGTTTCTCTCTATAAACATTTTTAAGTAGTTTCTATCTCTAAAATATGATATAATTTTTCTCTCAAATTTTAAGATACTTTCATTTTCTAAAAGCTAAAATTTGAGATAATATCTCTTTAAAAATTATGCGACGGTTTCTTTTTCTAAAAAATTTTATGTACTCTCTCTCTAAAATTTGATATAGTTATTCTCTTGAATTTTAAGATGCTTTCTCTCTCTAAAACTTCAATTTGAAATAGTTTCTCTCTCTAAAATTTTGAAATAGTTTGTCTTTAAATTTTGATATAATGTCTCTCTAAACTTTGATATACTTTCTCTCTCTAAAGTTTAAAATTTGAGATACTTTCTCTTTCTAAAACTTAAATTTTGAGATAGTTTGTCTCTAAAATTTTTTGAGATAGTTTCTCTTTCTAAAAATTTCATGTACCTTTTCAATTTAAAATTTGATATAGTTTATCTCTAGAAAATTTTATATATTTTTTCTCTCTAAAACTTCAATTTTGTGATAGTTTCTCTCTCCAAAATTTTTAAGATAGTTTCACTATCTAAAATTTGATATAATTTCTATTTTTAAAATTTTAATATATTTTATCTTTCTCAAATTCAAAATTCGAGATAGTTTATTTCTAAACTCAAAATTCAAGGTAGTTTCTCTATCTAAAAAATGAGATATTTCTCTCTCTAATTTTTTTTGGCCATATATCTTTCTAAAATTTATAATAGTTTCTCTCTCAAAGTTTAAGAATAATTTCTCTCTCTACAATTTTAATAATAC